AGTGGAACGGCGGATTTTTTTGTCGGTGTTGCAAACGCGTTCGTCAATTTGCGGTTGCTTTGCCTTTCATGGGATTTCCTGAGAGTTGCACTTACAAATGACGAAGTAAGTGCTAGTCGGCTTCATTTTGCTTACCGTACTCATAATGACTAGGAAGACCCGCAACGCTCTGTCACTTTCTGGGCCTCCTTGACACAACTTTCTCATTTGCAAGCACTCGAGATCCAGGCCCGATATCCTGCATGTGTCAAATTCAATAGACCCATCCCGTTCAGAGAGTTCATTCGATCACTGCTCGAAAAGTGCGCGGGATCAAGCATCGTTTCAATCCTGATTCATTTTGATCACCCTCGGGAGCCTAGTTACGAAATGGCTTGGGTTGCCGGGACGTGGGACAAAAGACTTCCTTCGAATGCACAGATTTGGTTGGCCGATCAAACGAGAAAGGCGAGAGCATTGCTCAAGTAGCTTAACGTGCTAGTACGTCTATAGCTGCGGAGACGCAGAGTTATTCTTCTTTCCCCGTTGTATGACGCTGAAGAACTGATCCGTGAGGATGACATTTGGACAAAAGACCTAGTTTTCATTTCTATCTGTTGAGTATTCACGACCAAAGTCTGTATTTCTTGAGCACGTATGTAATAAAACAAGAGGAGCGACTTCTGTGGTTTGAATGAACATGCGTTTGTCGAGACTCGAGAGTCATACGTACGGCACTAGGAGCGAAGTGCGTGGATGGTATGACGCGGTGCGTCATCTCAATTTTGTTGGTACATGACCAACAGTTTACGGACTCGCGGAACCAATGATCTCAGCTACCAAAGAGTCCCATTGTTCGTGAGGTGTGACCTGGGGAGAGTCTTCTTCAGTAAATGCCCACTCTCGTGCATTAGTGGGTCGTATGGTGCAGATTTGAGGTCCCCAGCCGACGATGTACGCGAATCGAAGACGCGAAAATTGTTTTCCCGAAAGAATTAGCGAAACGAAGTCACGCCAGGGTTGTTGAAGAGGCCATCGAGGTGTAAAGAACTCGATTGCTTCAAGATAACGTAGCGTCCCAAGTATGTCCAAAAGCTCTGAGTCCTGTTGGAGCTTAAATTAGCGTTTGGCCACCCAACGTTGCCGCAGAAGACTCACTAGCGTTGATGCACGATATTTGGGGGTGCAGTCGATGCTCCCAAGTAAACGGAGGTTGGGAGTGGCACCTAGCATGGCTCTCAGAGGCTGAAGCGCCATTCCATTGATTGACCAAAGGTGTAGGGCAGTCAGATTTTCGCCATACAGACGAAAGCCCTTTAAGATGACTGTGAGGCTTCCAAGTCCTCGAATAAATCGTAGCACTTTGATATCCCTTCCCTGAAATATCTTCTCGATGGTTCCACCGTTCGTCTCTAGCACGCGAATGTTGGGGAGGAATAAAGGGTCTTGGAAAAATTCCTGTCCTCCCCAATCTTGCGGATGCATCAATGGAAGTTTCAAGTGAGTTATACTTTTGGATTGTCGGACAAGGAAATTCATTTGAACAGTGCGGAGTCCCAGGTCGGTCTCGAATTTGGTCAGCCGATCCTCCGGAAGGTCTTGCAGCCGCTTAAACATAGTCCGGTCATTTGAGTACACAGGAAGAGTTTCAGACAATGTCTGGATGGACAGTGCGTGTATCTTCGTCAGACGATGGAAAGGGGGGAAAGCTGTTCTGGGAGATCGGGAGTGATGCCAACTACCGTCGATCGATCCGCCGAATTGGCGAATAGTCAGGGAGCGAACATAAGGACCGGCGCGAGATTCAAGGATGAGGTATATGCACCGTGCCCGTTCAGAGTTGTCTTCTACGTCGATATTGCGGTAGAGCAATCTCTCGGCTTCTGATTGAAGTGAGCGTGAGGTCCGAGCGACACGCGCCAAATCGACATCAGGTTCGCGAAATTGGGCAACATGTTCGAGGACAAGCCTGAACAGCTCTGGTGGTATGGTGACCGTTTTTATTCGAGGAGTGGAAGTCTGGCTCTGCGCAGGAGAGGACGATTCCATCTTGTTCAAAGTGTCTGAACTGGACGAGCCTGAAATGAGCTCTGAAGCCTCAAGACTGTCTATCAAAAGACTCAGTACCACGATATTTGCCTCATGCAAGATCAGCTGCTCACCTTTCGTACGTTTAACACCTGGATGGGTATCCGTCGGGTCATTTGGCACTCCAGATCCATTGCCAGGGCCCCCGAGATGGAGGTCACTCTGAACAAAAGCACTCTTCTCCTCACTTGTAGCCATGTCGAATATTATATGTTGCTTCGGCGTGTAATACAGAGGTCGATATCGACGCCCAGTCAGCCGCTCGGGGAAGGAATCCAGTTCGATTTCGACTCCGAGTCAGGTGGTGGCCTTGAGCTTGAGCGCTTGAGCGCTAAAAGCACCACCGCATAGCCATGGCTTTGTAGTAGTTGGTACCGCCTGGTCACCATAGTTCTCATTCACGACAATTCATAGTTGTAGAGATTGAAACAGTCTTGTCAAAAGTCCCGGTGATGGAGTGAGAAAAACACAATTATATTCGGGATGCAGATACAATGGGGGGCTACAGTATTCCTACTATCAATCAATGAACGAGGGGGCGCATTGCGCGAGTAAAATCGGGAAAGAAGCTAATACAATGCATCGATGAAAGAGAGTTTAGAAGGAAGGAAAAGACAGGAAGGGAGCTGATAAGACAGCCAGGGAAAGAGAAAGGTCGTGAATAAAGGAAGGAAATTCGTGAAAAAGCCGTAGGCTTGCGAAAGGAACGACGACCGGCTTAGATTGGCTCCGGCATATAAAGCCCTGTCTCGGATTCAGCATGAGTATGAGAGGCTACAAAAGTTGGGCGAACCTCTTAGAAACTTGGCAAAGGACTCCTGGCCAGCTGCCGTGTCCGTCATCTCATCCGCGTCCAGGACTCTTCCATCAAGGTTCACAAAACGCAAGGCGAAAGGTTCGGACAACCACGATTGGCCCTCTCCATAGTGATTCATGAAGTTGCACCCAAAAGTGATCCCGGCTTTACGAGATTTGAACCTTGCCCCGAAAGAGACATTAATGAGCCGGACGCAAGAGTCTCGAATGTCGCGCAAGATGTCGAATATTTCGTACTCGAAGCGTTCCAATCGAGTGGGACTGATGAAGCAAAGTGACACTATTGGAAGATCGCGGAGGAGAAGACGCAAAGGAACGTAAGGCCTGTTGGCGACCGGCGAGGGGTGCGAGATACCCAGGTTCACCAGGTTAGGGCAAAGTTCCGATATCGGAAATCTCATGTCCCAGGTTTGGTTGACGGTGATATGGAGGGTAATGAGTTGAGTTCCGAGCTGTCGTAAGAACTCGAGACTGCTATCGTCGGTAATGCACAGCCCTAAAGAACGAAGAACGGGAAACCCCCAAGTGCGCGCGATTGTGTCGAAGACGGGGAAGGGAGCTATATCGCCCGTCAAATTGAAATCCTGGAGTACCGGAAGAACAATGGGTGCCAGGGGCAACGATGCCCAGTCAACGCCGGCGACTGAGACACTCAGTGAAGTAAGATGTGTGAGTCGATCGTTGGGAATTTCAATGACGTTCTCCAACTCCAATGGCCTGATGAAGGGTGTCCATTCGATATCTGGCATCGGAGGCTTCCACAAGGGTCTCGGGGGCCTGAAAGGAGCCTTTGAAAAATTGACCGAGCGGACCGAGGGACAAAATTCGATGAGACTCATTATACGGGCATTAGTGATGAAGTCATCGACCTCCAAATGGAAGGATGCTGCCCGGTCATGGTCCTTTCGGAGGCAAAGACTATGGAACTCGATCGTTTCAACGTATTCTCCACGAGTTCTGGGAGTTCCGGGAGTGATGATGTCGGAGATATGGAGCTGATCGGAAAAAAAGCCCGTGTGGGATGGGGAAGAATCTTGGACGAATATATCTCGGTACAGATATTTTACGGCGATGATGGCAAACATCCTGTTGACTCGCAAGAATTTCTGGCGTTGCTTCATGATGTCAATGACAGCTCTGGTGCGATCGCAGATACTGCGCCTATCGGAAATGAATACGAAGGTTCTTCGAACAAAGTAAAGGGTCATACCGATCGGCGTTACAGAACATGTCCAGAGTAATCCGACGCAGTTCAGCTGGTCCAGATATGTCTTCAGCGCGCCAAAGAGTGTTGGAAAGATCCTGCTTTTCCATCGCAAAATGAATGATTCGTCGTATGACTGCTTCAGGGAATGTCGGTGGAGCGTTGATCGCCATAGCTTAGATCTAGTTCGGAAATGAGTGATTGGCGAATAAGTGGAGAAGTATTGCACGGTCACGTACACGTCTATGAAGACAGGGAACGTCAGCCATCGTGTCGACGCCTCCGGCGGGAGACACCGGAGGGATGAGGGGAAGACTTCGTTGAAGAAAGACGTTTGTGAGCAATGGACGAAAGCTTCACAAAGCAACGACTCACATGGACTCACGCAGACGGGAATAGATAGTAGACAAAGGACAGACAGAAATTTTCAAGGACCGACACAGCGATCACAGCTTATCAAAGGATGAGCCTCGAGGCTCGATCTGTTCTTGTTTAGGATGTACCATCTTTGTTCCTTTGTCGCCAGATGCCATGTGATTTAAGGCCAAGAGGCGTCATCTGCGATGAGGATGCACTCGAGGATGCGAGAGAATTCGATCAAGTAGTTCCTACGACCGAATGACGAGGCCATACTGGTAGTCCCTGACTGTCTCGAGCATACTGAGGCGTCAGACACATTCACTGATGCCCTAGTTGACTTGAGTAGGTTGACTTGGATCGCTGATGAACAGGCAAGTAGAGTCAGTTAGAAAACAAACTCTAACCCAGTAAATTCAGGGAAGTCTGATTCTGAGATGGGTTTCCAGGAAACGAAGTCGAGGGCAGTCCCCGAGAACACTGAACAACGAAACGAATATCCCATTAACAAAGGCAAGTGTCTGAATATATAGACATCAGGAAGGGCACAATACATGGCCGGCTAGCGTAATGGTTAACGCGTTTGACTTCGATCAAGAATATCAAAAGATTGCAGGTTCGAGTCCTGCGTCGGTCACTTCTTCTTTTCTTTTTTCGTCCCAACCTATCTATATTAGGTAATTTGAAATATTTTACATGTAACCCTCGTGGTGCAGGTCTGCGTTGGACTGTTTAACTCATGGCTCTTGTTGTCCTCGCACTCGATCGGATTGCAGACTTTCAACTCACTTCCTCTTTTGGAGTGTGGCAGGGTCGGTTGATGCATCTCATGTGGATAAACTACCTTTCGCCAGAATAACAGCTGTGCTATATTCCGTTCCTCTTCCGTCCTCCTTCCCGTGGGCCAATTGTGCCAACCGCGACAGCGTCCATGGAATCCGGTCCAATCTCAGACCCTGTCGTCGATATCTTTGACACACCTCGCTTCAACCGACTTCTCAGCTTGATAGAAGAACAAAACGCGACAGTCGAAACTCAAAAGAAACTCTTGAAAGATCAGCAGAGGACACTGAACGAGCACGGAAAGAAGTTTGATATCTTGATACGTGATGCTTTGAAAGGTGATTCGACTTGATATACAATGTCCTGTCGTCGTCTGAAGCGCAGGAAAGATGATCAACCGTACCGAGAACAACTTCTGGACGATGAGCCAACGTGGAGTGCGCTGTACGAGGTGGCCGCAGCAAAGATGAAAGAGGAAGCGGAAGAATGGAAGAGCTTGATGGACGTGTCGCTGGTCTTCGTAAGTCAGACCAAGTTCATGAAATCATTTTGCCTCATATCAACCCAGATAGCCATTTTTTTAACTGTCCTCACTGCATTCCTCGTCCCCGCTACGCAGGGTTTGTCTGCAAGTACCGGAGCCAGTCCTAATGAAGGCGGTGCAAGCAATTCGACCTCACTCCCTCCGCTCCCTCCACGATCGGCAGAAAATGTTTGCGCGCTCTACTACGTGGCATTGATTATGGCAGTGCGTGACAGCTCCCATACCGCCGCTCTCATATTGAATAAAACACCTAGATTTTCAATGCGGTCATTTGTATGCTTGGCCGCCAGTGGGTTGGAAAGCTGCTAAATCGACCTGCTGGGAAGACCTATAGAGAACGGACGATTCGACATGAAGAACGTAAAACTCTGGCCTATGTGTGGATCAAACCCCTCGTAGCCGTCCTGTATTGGTCACTCCTCCTCTCCATAGGGGTGTTTATGACAGGACTACTATACCAACTCAGAAGTCTGTCGACATCCTTTGATCAGAATGCGCGTGCTTTAGAGGCAACTTGGGCGCTGGGACTTGTAATTGTCTCGGGCATAGTTGCAACCATAGCGGCGACTACCATACATGCTGTCAGGTTCGAGGGTTCACCCTTCGAAGGATTGTCCAGCGACGCCATGGTCAATCTCCTGCAACGATTGACAACCCGATGGAAGTGGAACTGGCTCAAAGGAATCCGAGTCCAAGTGGATTGGCAATTGAACTACTCCTCTCCGCAACTAAACTCGATGTTCATCAGGTTGATCGCCGACGCTCAAGATCCAACAGTTTTGGATCGCGCCGTGCCCTCATTCTCTTTTGAAACTTGGTTCAGATATGGCGATGAATCTTTCGACGTGTTGAAAGGAGCCTACGATCGATTAATGGCTACAGATACGTCGCTTCGAGTCAGAGAGACCGTCAAAGCCAGACTCCCTGCCTTGGGCTACCTCTCTCGCATATGGCTTCGGAAACCATCAGACAAGGCTCATGCCAAACTGAAAGATCAAGAAATGATCAACTTCCTTATCAAGGAGGTATATTCCGCTGGGCAGTGGCTTTCCAGGGTCTTTTTCACGTCATGTCGTGAAGGGAACGAAGATCTGCGTGCAGTCTCAGAACTCCCCTTTGAGCAATGTATTGCCAAAGTCCTATGCACGTACGACCAGGAGATAAATTTAGGGGATCGTAGCGAGGTCGTCAAAGACGCCCTCAACGGCGATGAAGCTTATGATGCAGACCAACTCGCAAGGATCTTCGCACAGGTTGATCCGTGTTCTTTCTTAAGGTCATCTATGCGACAAAACGAGGTGTACCTGTCCGATGACCTTGTCAAGTTCACTGTGCGTGGCCGAGCCGTTGAAATCTTCCCTAGGATGTGCCCCTTCTTTAACGATCCCACAAATACCACCTTGCCGGCTTACAGATGGAATATGTCCTATGTTCTTCGCGCCCTTATTTCCAACTACCCCGACGGAGGCGACCTTCCCTCTGACATTGATCTTTCTCCGTTCATCGAAACTCTATGTGGCAATGCCGAAGACGACACCTGGAATAACATCAGTGACGCGACTATGCGTTACCTCAATCGCTGCAATATTACGGCGCTTTCCAGACCCCAAGCTGTTCGACAATTCCTCATGTTATGTGCGGACCGAACCCATGGCGCCGATAAAGACGAGTTCTATCAAACTGACGAAGAACATCAGGGGCGTGCTCAGGCTCTCTTAGTTGGTCGGTTTTCATTAATATTTCGGTCCCCCCTTCCGCTCATCTGATTTAATACCCATGTCCAGAACATCGATCCTTCTTTGAGGCCGCTCGAAGCCCAGACGCTTCTGCGATCTCCATTCATGATCTGCCCTCCCATAATGAGATTCGCTCCCCGTCTTCTGCCCATATAGAAATGTCAGAGCTTCCGTCATGTTCTGTGTAGTTCTCTCTTTTAAAGTCTTTACTATGTGATGAGCATGTGGCTTCCTAAACACAGTCAATCTCTTGCCTTTTTAGCCGGCCCTCCGTTCGTTAGGGCACAGGAAGAAAATCCATGATCCATGCTTAGTATCGACTTTACAAAATTTTAAATATTTGGGTTACGTTCATCTATGACCGTCCATCTAAGAGCTAAGACTTGCCAACAAGCGTGAAATTTGTGAAGAAAACTTTGAGCTCCTCTTCGTCACCCTCGGCAACGGTAGGACGCGCGGCGTACACTCCAATTCTCAACTCAGAAGAACGAGGCTTGTCAAAGACCCATGTGATCTCCCTCACTCCCACCTTCTTCCCGTCCTGAATCATATAAACCCACAAGCTCGAACCGGTACCCTTCTTCGCATCAATTGGCTCTCTGGCAATCTCGATAGTTGCCGTTCCATCTGTCAAAGGCAAAAGACTCCAGTCGGCTGCTTCCCGAGCAGCGACCGTAGAGAGGTTGGGTATTTCATCGTGAAATTCGATGCCTGTCTTCACCCAATATTCCTTGTCCTCGGCGTTTGAGGCAGGAAGATAGAGAACCAATCCGCCCTGATCGTACAACCGAGTCCATGACGCGGTCACTGTGACCCGCGCAGACTGAAACATATCGAATGGGATAGTTTCGAGGGCAGTGACGATGTTGTGTGCATCGTGGGCGGGTGGCTTTCTCCAGAGATCCGTATCGGGAGGTGCGGATAAGCTGATGCCGGTGGGAGATGTGCCCAAAAGCTGGCTGAGGGAAGGCATTGGGATGACTGGATCGATGATACTGCTGCAGGACGCTTTGTTGGGATGATCTGTCGTCTATCCCAGTTTTAAATATTCTGGGATGCAGCGACACGTTCAGCGCTGACGTGCCATATATCCCAAGTTCGTCATTCGGGCCGGCGCCTTCTCTTGGCCGCACTCGAGCACACTTGTTCCTCCACGTCCGCGGTTCCGTTTTCACAGCTGCGATCGCAACTTGATCCGCTCTCTTCGTCAATAAACTGAGCGCCTTGGAAGGTGAGATCCGATATATAGCGCCAGAGCAGCATCGCAGGTCGAATATCCGTGGAAGCCGGAGTGGCCATGGAGTCATACCGATGGATATTCGACTCCAGCATTGTCCAATATTCGTGCGGTTCCCTCCAAGGCCGGACCAAATGAACGGGACGTGATTTATGGTCTTTTCTTGTCCGCAGAATATTGATGATCCAGCAGAATGAGCGACGGAAGGGTCATCATCGAGCGCATTAATCTCAAATCAGATTTCGAAAGACTGGTCCGGCTCGGGCTATCCATTATATGTTGAGATGTTTCTCGACCTGGAAAACCTGTTGTCGGCGGGGTCCTATCATACTTTGATAACTGTCAACTCACCCTTTCCTTTGTTCAAGCCCCCCTTCGAATATGCTCTTGATTTGTTGAGAACCATATCCCGTTAAATATCCGGGCGCTGTTTTCTGGACAGGATCTCGCGTCTCTGCATAAGAATGGTTCGCAGCGACCGCTTTGCTATTCCCGAAGCCTCCGCCAACATGACTTCCATGGCCTCGGGCTAAGGCGAAAAAGGGCTGAGTGCTATCTGCGACAGCTATTTCTGGGGTGATGTGTAGCCCTGCGAAACTGATTAGGTGTCTTGTATCTGGACAGGCAAGACTTACGACGATGTGGCTGTCTGTCAACGGCGCTTCTATTCAGGGATTTGTCGAAGGGCCCTGTTATGCTGTTACTACTACCCCGCCGTGCTATGTGTTCACATAGCATTTCCTCCACCGTTCCGTCCCGCACTTATCTGGGCTCTATAGCAGACTACTACTCACCCGATCCACTGATTGGTCGACGCGTGAGATCCGCGATTGTTGATATCTTCGGGACCGTATCGAAATTTCTCGATATTTGGTGGCGCACTCGGCGGGTGGAGCTATTCGCCTCGGCCACTTTAAACCACGTTGCAGGCTGCAACATTAGGCTATATTGACGGGATTGAAGGATGCTATGGAGTGCTACATGAAATAGGAAGTGCGCATATCACCGGTCCATGGAAAATTTACATGTATAACAAACACTCCGGTACAGTAATTGCTACACGCGCCTGGCATTCGTATATCCCAACACCCCACTGAACCTTATCGCAAAGCAACGGACGAGGTGAAAATCTCGTCAATACTGAATGAGACATAGGCCGGGACCATAGATGAAGATGTAAAGCGATCCGGTCAGTGGGTCGAATGCCAAGGGGTTACGGAATCTAGATAAGAGTTCGTCTGGCAAAACGCTAAGCTGCAGGTTGACCCACTGTGGTCCCTGGCTGGGTTTAAGGAATCCGCAGTCAGCGACCTGGACGTAGGGCAGGTAGATTTCCT